TTAAGATGAATGCTATGCACCCTAATGTTCGTGAGATACAGTTGTTGTACAAAGAATTTCCCGAGTCATTTGTTTGGGATAAAAAGGGCAAACAGTGGTCTGCAAGGAAACAATGTGATGTTATTGGTAGGCTGATAGTTGTGAGATCAAACATGAGATCACCGACATGAGATATTACTTACGCCTCCTTTTATCAAACATGAGATCACCGACATCTTTCAAGGATTTAAGGACTGTTGATGGTGAAGTGTTTTCAACCTTTCGTGACGCTGCTCTCAAGCTAGGCCTGTTACTTTCTGATAAATATGTGGAAGAAACTCTTATGGATGCCGCAGCTTATCAGATGCCTTCTGCACTAAGATACTTGTTTGCTGTTGCCCTTGTGTTTTGTAGCCCAGATAGTCCAGATAAACTTTTTGAAGCTTATTTTGAGCATTTATCAGCAGATTTTTGGCATCATTCATCTGCAGCCGAAACCACATTCGAGGGGGTAAAGCTCAGAACTCTGGAAGCTATTGATGTTTGCTTACAACAGATGGGACATTGTATTAAAGAATTCCACATTTTGCCGTCCACTCTTGAAAATAATGATTGTTTCAGAACAACAAGAGAAGTTGATTTTGAATGCAATATTATTGTTTCTGATTCAGAGCGCAATTTGCACTTGCAACTAAATGATTGCTAGAGGTGTGCATATAATGTAATCATTGCTGCAATCGCATCACCATCATGTGCGGCATTCTTTGTTGATGGCCCCGGTGGTACAGGTAAGACCTTTTTGTATAGGTGCTTACTCGCTACTGTTAGGTCAGGAGAAGGCATTGCCCTAGCTGTTGCCTCATCTGCAGTTGCAGCATCGATTCTTCCAGGAGGGAGCACAGATTATACAAGTGACGATGTTGTGCAGGATCTGGGAGCTCTGCACACACTATCCTGTCATATGCTTCTGGAGTGAGAGGCTTGTACTGTTGCTTTAATATTACAAGAAAATGAGCATGTGGCATTCCTCTCTTTTGGAACTCAACAGCATACACAGAAGCTGCAACCTCCCCAAAAATTTGGTTTTTTAGGATCTCGTCTTTGAAAAGTTCCAGTTTAGCCCTGAAAACTCTAGTCAACAAATCTGGCCGATCAAACGCCGTCTCATACCACTTAAGGTTGGAGTGTATTCGGGCCATTTCAGGTTGCAAGTCATTGTCATGAAAACGTCGGGCTTGCCAAACTTCTGTACCAAAGCCATAGCATCATAGTAGCGCTTCTGCATATCCCTTGGTCCACCAATGAAAGAAGCAGGAAGAATTGTTTTTCGTCCAACATCAGCGGCAAATGATTCGCCCATATCACCAACAGCATCAACAACTCCACTACGTATTTCTGTTCTGAATTCCTTCTGTCTATGCCGAATGAACTCTAACATTTGGGTTTCAATCTTTACATGTGCATTGACAACAAATTGCTGGAGAAGCCTCATGGAATGTAATAATACAGATTCATCTTCATCACGCATCTTTAGTTTATAACTATAGTACTATCGAGCTGTGACAAAACCTTTTCTTTCTGCCGCCTCATAACAAGCTGGAATAATAATTTAAAACAAGCATGAACAAATCAAATGAAAATCGTAATTACTTTCAGAGAAATAATATATTTGAAAAAAGATATTGGTCAGTTACCTAGCTATATTCTCATGAGCTAATAAAGTTTCAGCATCATCAACAGAAGAAAGATGAACAGGTCCATGAAAAGGGCCAAATGCCCTATAGTTGGTATGCAACATGGTGTCTACATGAGGAATTGAAGTATGCCAGCCAGATTCACCAAACGGATTTGCATCCATATTGAGCAAAGAGACAACGTGCCTCCTTTTGTAAGATGGATTTGCATCCATAAGGATTCTTGTTTTTAAGATGGATTTGCATCCATGAAGTCTAAAATATTCATAATCTTGAAATTAACACTGAAGCTAACCACTATAATTGACAAATTAGATGTGAAGAAGTTATGTGTGGTAATGCTTATTTTCATTAGACTAATGTTAACATAGTGCTTGTTTGAACAACCATGCAGAACACCTTTTCAATTTAAATTTATCTCCTCTTTTAAATTTAATGTAATTTATCTCTTAAACACAAGTCTCAATATAAAATAAATACTATCCAAATAACATTTTAATTCACGTTTTAAAACACCTGTTTAAACATAATTTTTGCATAATTTTCACCCACCACCTCTAATACTAAATGATGTGTCCACTATCCAGATAAAGCTATAAAGGCGTCGACTTGAGTTCGAGAACTCGAAATCTCCACAGAGCAGGTATACACGGACTGTAGCCAATTGTAGCTCACCCACTCGTGTGCCTCAAGATTGAAGTTTGTTGAAGCTCAAGAAGTAGTTGTTGCTTTAGTTGAGTTAATCTCTAAATTTTATAGTTTTCGAGTTATCAAGGTTGATAGTCCAAACGTTCTTAATACGGCTTCAGCATTATCTTCTTGTAATATGATGGATGTTCGAGTCCTTTTAATGTAATTCTATCCATTCAAAATTATTGTCCAGTTTGAGATTTAACTTTTATTATAATTTGTATTAAAAATGAAACACCAAATTGGACAATAATTTTGGGGCAGAGTGAATTTTTTTTTTTTTTGGTTAATAAAATAAAATAAAAGGATAAGAATGACATGATCTCATCATCATCATCATCCCCCAAACTGTATGTTATTCTTTAATTCCATTTTATCAAATTAACCAATAAACTCCATATCATGGGACAACGCTTGCACGTATCAACTTTAGTTAATTAAGATATAATGCGCGTAAAGAGCAATTGGTCCTTCAACTTTATTTTTCCTTTAAGGAAAAAGAAAAAAAAAACAAATAGAAAACTAATTAACGAACTTTTTTTATCATGATCTACATACATTTATCGAAAAATATTGATGATTAACATAGGAAAAAAGCCTTGATGTTCTTGATTATTGATCAGGGAAGCGATTTGCCTCGGTCACAAAGTAAAAGTACGTCTTTGTTTTTGCTTAACGAAAAAAAATTCTTACTAGAGAGAGATTTCTTAGTCTGATTTGGTAATCATCAGTCAAATGTGTGAATTTTGATTCTAGAATAACTGAACAAACTACAGATATATTAATGCAAAAAACAATCATCCATATATATGTTTACCCCATAGTGCAAATATGCAATGATGATTGATGACCAAGAAGAATTTTTATGGATGCTTTATCTTACTGTTATAGTGTTGAAAATCTTTTTTTAAAAAAAATAAAATAAAATGCACTAATCAACAAACACCACTTCATAATGCTAATTAAAATACTCAAAAAAAATGAAAAGTTGTAAAATTGGTCAAGATTTGAATCTCTTACTGGGGCTCCCAGCTTGTTGGTGTCGACTCTAGGGAGCCATTTTCGTAATCGAAGCTGACACAAACTGCATTAGGTAGTAGAGATGAGTATTATTTTTTGAATGATCATATAGTTATCGGGAATAAATTTACACTATGAAATTATATGGGAAAAAAAAGCATAGAGGAAAATAATACTTAAACATTGTTTATTGTCATATTTCAGATGAAGAAGAATGAAAGAAATAATTATTTTTAATAAATTCTATATGTATTTCATCAATTACTCAAGCTATCAAACCTGTTGGAACAGTCAATATTCACATTCTTATTTTTTAGAATATTATTATGTTTACTTTGAGGTGGTCTTTGGTTTGATTTTTAGTGTCTCACTTTGAAAGACAATCTTCACTTTAATTTCCACTAAAGGACTACCTTATCCATTTGTATATTTCATTTCTTCCATAATCATCATAATATAAACTGTATACATTCGTGCGGGTGGCTTTCTTCTTTGCAATCATAATAACAACCATGACGAGCCCTTTTTTCTCTTCATCTTTTTTTGGGTATTTACTCGAACTTTTAAACTGTTTAATTATGATACTTTTCTTTATTAAAATTGGTTTGAAAGTGGTAAACAAATAAAAGACTAACTTAGACTACCTTTTCATGATTACTTGGGTTTTACCCATGGAAAGGGAATAGTTCTTAACAGTAATTGCTACCTGCGCTAAAAAGAAAATAAATTAATTAATTAAAAAAAATCCACATTTAGTACTATATTTTTGGTTTTTTTTTTTTTTTTGAGATTGAGAGATAGTATTATATTTATCACATCTTGAAGGATTCTTTTGCTTTTGCATCAAGTTAATTTAAAGTGGTGAATTGGTTATATACCAAAAAAACAAAATGGTGAAATGGTTATTATTTTTAGAGTTATTCATGTTTTTATTGTGCAGCCCCAAGAGTCACTCACTAAGTATAGCAAGTTTGAAATAAAGCATTCACTGAAATGGAGCAACGAGTCTTCGAGTTTTTTCTCTCTCTACACTAGAGAGTCTTTCTCTTCCCCGTGGGCGGGAGTTTGGTTTCCTCTTTCATTCTTTGAAATTTTTTAAAAAATTTTCAAAATTTTTTGAAAATATTAACAAAACATGGCGGTTTTGGTTCCTTCGTAGAAGTATCTACTATTTTTTTGGATAAAATAAAATACAACAGTACATAGATATTTTTGATCTGATAAACCTACTTAATAATTGTGCAATAGAGTAAATGTACCACATCTTAAATATTTCTCAAGTATCCTGTCTGAACAATATTTCTTTTCTCTCCACAGCATTTACTCTTGACACTTGGCGTCTTTCTTCTATTCTTTCCTTTCAGGACTCGTTGACTAGTTTCACCTTGAAAAATCAGGGAGGAATTTTTTTCAGATCTGTGATAGTCAAGGTAGAAGAGAAATGGAGAGAAAAATAATAGATCGGTTCAAAAAACGTCTCTCTATCAGAAAAGGAAAAGGGGGGTAAGGAATTAGGGAGTCGACATACACAAAAAGGGATAGAAGAGGGCAATCGAAGTTTGGTGGGCAAGATATTTGGGAAGAGGAAGATGAATTTCTATGGGGTAAAAAAACGCCATGGAGAGACCTTGGCGTCAAAGGGGGTTGGTGGGGGAGGAGAAGATCCAGGCCAAAACTTTTCAGTTCATCTTCGCCAAATCTGAAGACAGAGAGGCCATTTTGAGACAACGACCATGGTCGTTTGACAGCCACTTCTTGGTGCTGCAAAAGAGGGAAGAGGAGATGGATTATGAAGCGGAGACCTTCAATTTCACTCCCATTTGGGTGCAAATTTGGAACATACCTAGGCACTGGGTGTTTCGTGAAATGGGTCTAGATCTGAGAGAGTTTATTGATGAAGTAAAAGATGCAATAGTCCCAGATGTGAGTGGATCGGAGTACAGGCACATAAAGGTCTTGGTCGAGATGGATCTACGCAAACCCCTTGAGAGGGGAACTATGGTCAAATATAAAAGTAAGGAATTGTGGGTTGAATCCCGTTATAAAAATTTACCTTGTTTCTGTCATTATTGTTGGCATATAGGCCATTTGGAGAAAGGGTGTGAGGTTAGGGCTACAGATTCTGAGATGAAAAGACTCAAGGAAGGGCAATTTGGCCCCTGTTAAGGGTGGAGTACTGGAAAGCAGAACGTAGGGAAGTATCAACAAAAAAGAAGGAGGAAGAAGAAGCAAAAGGGGGGCGGGGGAATTTGGGGGTGTTGTGGTTACTACTAGGCAGATTAGTGACAAAAAATATGGGGCGGGGATAAGCAGGGAGAATAAGGAAATTCCTATAGGGCATGTTGTAGTAGAAAAAGGTGGATATAGTGGGGTAAACAAAATGAGGCAAGAGGAGAAGGAGAAGGTTTCAACTGGGAAAATGATTGTGGGGAATGAGGAAAAGATTAGGGATGATGATATCTTAGAGAGTGAGCTTTGTGGTAAGGATCCTTTTCTAGAGGACGTCAAAACTGGAGCAGACTTGATGTTGAAAATGTATAAAACTGGAACGATCCCAAAGAAGGTGTACGAAGAATTTATGCGCCCAAAACCAGAGTTGAGTAGACATGTAAGGAGAAGCCCTTTTGATGATGTAATGAATAGAATGTGGAATAAGAGTGAATTGGAAAACAAGTTGGGAAGTGAAAAGAATAAAGGGGCAACAGTGCTACCGGAAAAGGGTCAGAAAAAAAGTCAACGGAAGAAGAGAGCTAGAGGGGGGGTGGAAAATCAGGTGTTTGATGGGGAATCTCGAGATGAAACAATGGTAGATGGATTGGATAAAAGGGACAAATTGATGATGGAAGGAATGTTAGAGATGCAACAGGAAGGGTGCAAAAAGATAAAACAGAATGAGGTGGAACTAACAGAAGGGGGTCTCAGTTCTAGCAGCAATGTCAACACTCAAGTGATGGAAGCCAGCCTCAAATGGCCCTGAGTTTCCCAATGAGGATAACAATGTGGAACTGTAAGGGGTTGGGAGGACCAACTACGGTTTCACAACTAAAAGAGTCATGCCGACTCTATAAACTAGAGGTAATTTTGTTTGTGAAACAAAGAGGTAGTTTTGTTTTGTTAAGACTGTAACAAAGAAGTTAGGTTTTGGGAATAGGTTTGTTGCTGTGAATCCATTAGGACGAAGAGGGGGTATGTTTTTGGGGTGGGCCGAAGATGTTGTAGTGCATGAGGTTAAATGTCTTCCTTTTGTATTGAATTATGTTATGAATCTCCTGAAACTAAAGGGTTGGTCTGGGGTATTTTTGTTTATATTAGTACAGAGCAGGAGGAAAGAGCTCTATAGTGGAAGAACTAATAGATAAAAGGGGTTCTTGGGGAGATAGGTGGTATATGGGGGTGATTGGAATGATATTAGGGTAGGGAAGGAAAAAAGGGGTGGGAGAACGAGAACTAAACGAAGTTGTGAAGGCTTTCAGGATTTTATCTTATGATGGGGATGGATAAATTACAGTTTGAAGGAAGGGAATGGACATGGCAAATAATAGGAGAGGTGAGGGCTACTTTGAAGAAAGATTAGATAGGGTTTTCACCTCGACTGGATGGTTGCTGAAACATCCACAAGTAAGGGTGAATCATGTTGACATGCATGCATCAGATCATTGCCTGCTGTTTATGGACTCAAATCCAAAATCCCAGAGGACAAAAGCTCATTTTTTGCTTTGATAGGAGATGGTTAAACAAAGAGCGCATAAAAGAGACAGTGGAAAAAGCCTGGAGCTCTCACTGTGAAGGTTCACTAGTGCATCGAGTAGCATCTAAGATTAAATTGTGTAGGCTGGAACTTCAGAAGTGGAGTCGAGGACTAGCCTTGAATCCGGAGAAGGCTATTAGGAGTATAATTCAGGATATGGATCAATGAAAAGTCAAGGTGGGGATAGGGATCGGCAGAAGTTGAAGAATCTGAAACAGAGTTTGGATGAGGCTTACAGAGAGGAGGAGATATACTGGCATCAGAAGAGTAGAAACCAGTGGCGGAAACAGGGTGACAAAAACACGAAGTTCTTCCAGGCTTCAACCATCCAGAAGAGAAAATCTAATAGAATTGAGAAGATCAAGAAAGTAGGGGGAGGCTTTTGTGAAACGGATGGAGAAGTTGGATAGGAAGTGGAGGAGTTCTATAGGAAACTGTTTACTTCAGAGAATGAGTTGGGTTGGGAGCAGAAATTAGATGGAGTACCTTCTACTATCACAGATGAAATGAATTCCACCCTGATACATCCAATTGAGGAAGCCGAGACCAAGAGTGTCGTTTTTAGCATGAGCCCACATAAAGCTCCCGGGATGGATGGTATGATACCTCTATTCTTTCGGTCTTTTTGGCATGTGATAAAATTTGATTTATGTGATGCAGTAAAAGACTTTTTTAGATCCTCTTGTATGTTAAAAAGTTTTAATCATACACTTATCTCTTTTATCCCAAAAACAGAAAATCCTACGAATATCTCTCAATTCAGACCGATCAGTTTATGTACTGTTGTGTGTAAAATAAAATTTCAAAAATATTAGCTGAAAGAATGAAACCACTCCTTCCTTTTTGTATTAATGAAAACCGATCAGGTTTTCTAGCTGGTAGGCAAATTTTAGATAATGTCACGATAGCCGATGAATACATTCACTTTCTAAGTAATCTAAGAGAGAAGAAACAGGGGTATATAGCCATAAAATTAGACATGGCAAAGGCGTATAATAGAGTAGAATGGAGGTTTCTAGCTAATATGATGGGGTTTGATCTACAATTCGTTGGTTGGTTTTACAATATTTTCAAACTTCCACTTTTTCGTTTAATATAAATGGGGAGGTTAGAGGTTACCTAAAACCATCCAGGGGAATAAGACAAGAGGACCCACTATCCCCTTTATCTATTCCCGATCTGTTCTGAAGCATTTTCACATTTTATAAAATTGGCAGTTCAAAGTGGTGAGCTGAATGGGTAAAATTAGTGGAAATGGCCCAGAATTACACATTTATTGTTTGCTGATGATGCCATGATTTTCTGTAAAGCTGAAACAGGACAGATACGGTGTCTGAAGCAAGTCATGAAAGACTATAATGAGTGTTCGGGACAAAAGGTCAACTGGGACAAATCATCGTTGTTTTTCAGCAGGAATACGGAAGCAAGTATAAAGGCCCAAATCTGTGGAGAACTAAATGGTATAGGAGTGGAAATGAAGGCTAAATATCTGGGTTTACTGCTTGTGATTGGAAGGTCAAAAACGAAAGTGTTTAAATATGTGGAGGATGCTGCGCTGAAAGGAATCAAAAGCTGGAAAAACAAGCTGTTGTCCCCTGTTGGTAAGGAGATTTTAGTAAAATCTGCTATGCAATCACTCCCAATTTATACTATGTCTTGTTATAAGTTGACTAGGAATGTCTGTCATAAAATTGAGACGTGTATGTCTGATTTTTGGTGAGGAGATAAAGATGGGAAAAGGAAGATGCACTAGGGAAAATGGAAGAGTTTAACCAAAGGGAAAGAGGGAGGTGGCTTAGATTTTAAAGACCTAGGTAGCATGAATGAAGCCTGTTAGCTAAGCAAGTCTAGAAATTGTTGACAGAGCCTACTTCACTAATGGCGAGAGTGATGAAGGCGAAGTACTATCCACATAGCTCTCTGTTCACTGTACTACAGAAGGGGAGTGATTTGTGGCTTTGGAAGGGTTGGCTGAGTGCAAGGGGGTAATCCAGAGAGGAATGAGATAGAGAGTGGGCAACAGAGAGAAAATTAGTATCTGGAATGATAATTGGACGCCGGAAGACTGTATAGTAGGCCCTTACATGCCTGATCATACTTGGAGAACTTTGGAAGAGGTGGCACAATTAATAGCTAGTTGTTAAAAGATGGAGCGTTGAGATGTTGGAAGAAGTGTTTAGGCCAGAAAAAGTGAGGTTAATACAAAAAATACCTCTTAGTTGCTGTGGGGGAGAAGATAGGCTATTGTGGGGAAGAGAGAGGCATGGAAAGATCTCGGTTGCATCAGCTTATAATCTAGTAAAGGAGATGAAAGGGGAGAGTGAAGGCAGGGAAGAAGCAAGTGAGGGAAGGGAAAATAATAGAAGACTATGGGCTAGAACATGGAATCTGGGTGTTAAGGCAAAGATTAAACACTTCATCTAGAAAATGTATAAGAGTTGGATGCCAGTGAATCAGAATCTGAGGAGGAGGGGTATGGAGGTGGATGGGATTTGTAGCACATGTGGGCAGGAATTAGAAGATTTGGAACACGTTCTGCTTCACAGTACTCAAGCAAGAATGGTATGGCAGCTTGCACCAGTTAGTTGGGAAGGATTACATCAGAGAACAAATAATTTCTCAGATTGGGGAAAGGTTAGATGGGTGCAGCGCAGGGTGTGGAATTCAAGAGGAGGGTTGAACTTACTGTGTACTTACATGGCATTTGTGGAAAGTTCGAAATGCCTGGCAGTTTGGGCAAGAAAAAATAGATGCTTGGTCACTAGTGAAACGAGCAGGAGAGGAATGGCAAGAGTATGAGGTGGTACAACAACAGATACCTTGTTCAGCTAGGCAATCTCAGCAGCAAAACCTGGACCAGTGCTAGTCAAATCCCCCAGAAGGCTACGTCAGGATAAATGTCAGTTCATAGATGGCGAAAGGAAGCAACAGGACTGGAGTGGGTTACTGTGTTTGAAAGGAGAATGGAGAGTTCATGGTAGCTGTTGCAGATTCAGAAGATTTTGTGCAGAGCCAACTGACAGTAGAACTGATTGCAATCAGAATGGCAATGCTAGAAGCACAAAGAAGAAAAGTTCAGAAAGTGGAAATCCAGACAGATGTGAAAACTATGGTAACTTGGTTGCAGGGAAAAACCATCCCTGTTTCAGATGTGAGCACTATCGTTGACGACATCTTTTTGGTAAAACTAGGTTTTGAAAGTTGTAAATTTGTGTTTTTTAAGAAACAATAGAACTCAAGTAGTTACAATCTAGCCAAATTAGCCTTGTCTAACAATTATACACAAAGTTGGGATCGTAGAGCTCTGTTGTGGTTAGACTTATCGTTTAAGGCGGATTTTAATACCTCGGTGTAATTATCTCATCTTTTCTTTGAATTTTTTTAATGTATGATTATCGATTAAGGCAAAAAAAAAAAAAAAAGTATAGCAAGTTTGAACACCAAGCGTAGTGGTATTATAATTTTGCTGCCTTCTCTTCATAGTTCATAATCTGATTTTAATTCCCAGTGAGTAAATGAGAAAATTAAAATCTAGTACAAAGCTTAAATTAATGAGCAAATTATTAGAAAGTCCCAAGGCTATGGAGAAAAACTGTAACGTTGTTGTCGTAGACATAAAGATCACTTTGACTGCAACTTATAAAAAGTTAGTTGACTTTAAGGTTGCAGTACGACTATTGACTGTTGACTAACTGACCGCAATATTAATTCCTGGCCCCCGGCCTACAAATATGCATGCTTTAATTCCCTCGGTCGAATACTCGACGGCAGCAAAAACTGGGAATGTCATGAAAATTGTGGAAGTCATCGCTTTTCTGATGCTTCAAAAGGCAATAATGTTGAGTTTGTGGATGGATAATTTTTTATTTATTTTTTATTTTTTTTGAAAATTTTCACATGAAACCTATCTAGATTAAGCATAAATTACTTTTTTTTAGCACGTATATTGTACGTAGATTGGGAGAAGTTTTACGCTTGTTTGTTTTCTTTTTTGGTTGGTTTTTACCGAATTTAATATTAATAATTGTCTCATTCCAGCATACCTTTTTACATTTTTAATACATGTTTTTACATTTTCAATACAAAAAACACCTAAAAACATACACTAAAAAAAAGAAACAAACAGAAACATTTCTAATGAACCATTTTAGCTATTTTGGGAATAATTAATGGCAATTCAATTTATGTGTGCTTCTGTCCATTAAGTATTTGGGGAAGTGATTATCTAT